ATCTTAGTAAGAAGTCACGGTCATAAAGAATTGACTTAATTTTATATATCGCACGCATAGCGTGGCTTGATGTAGTTAATACTATTTATTTGAAATTTGGCCATTTATGCAAAGATATTGAATTTTTGTATTTAATAAATCTTTTTAGTAATTTGATTCCTTAGTTCTTGACATTTATATGATATATCACCATGGTAACGATTGGTCAACTTACGAAGAAACCTGTGTACATTATTGAAGCAACCTCTTTCTTCAGTTTGATCAAAAGAATTATAAACATACCCCTTTAATATTCTTCTCAGATGTTTTTTATTGGATGGAGACTGAGCATCTGATGATTAATTTAATTACTAATCATCTTGCTTCTTTAAGTGATTGTTCCGTCAAAATAGCTTACAGCATTATTTAGAAATGTACAGCTAAATTCTTCACAGCTCAATAATTGCGAAAAGAGAAATTTTATTTTTTAATAACGACATGATAATTTCTTTCAATAACATTTCGTATATTCCATAAAATATCTGTATATACCAAAGCAGTTGCGCATACTTTCTCAAAAATGTGTCATATGGATTTTAGAGTTATTCGTAAAGATATATCCAACTTAAAATCAGTATTCTTTAGTCCTTAAATCCTCATCTGATAGTATTAAAATACATATAAACTTCTTTCTTTAGGTTATGAAATAACAGATCAACATCTCCTATGAGGCTTTGTGACTTCTAAAAAATCTAATATTATCGTCTTATGTGATTTTATTTATTGTGATCGTACTGATGACTCTATTAATGATAGTGTTCTAGTGTGTGGGTATGGTTATCACAGCTATTGCTTGCAGAGATGCTAATACAAGTGTTTAATATGTTTAAATTATTTACAGAATGAAGTTAAGAAGAATGTTGATGCATTAATAGCAAGTTTAACGAAGGAAGGAAGAGTTGAAAATGAATCTATCAATAAGAATATTGAGAATGCGAATGAAGATTATTTGAGTAATATAAAACAGGTAATGCATGATATGATAGCAACAGAGAATTTATTAGAACGTACAAAACATTATTTTTAGAACTATAAATTTTTATTTTATGTATATAAAAATTGGTTGCAATAAATAAAAAAATTTTTTTTTTATAAAATTGTAAATTTATATGTTGCTTTGAATCAATCAATATTTTGAGCTAATCACAATATTTTGAGCTAATCATACTAATTATTAATTAATACTTCGAGCTAATATTTGATTAATTCTGGCTAGGAATTAAGTACAAAGTGACCGGAATTACTATTTCTAAATTTAGAAATTTGTGTAAACTCAATTTGATTGGCTGAACTAATATATGACAATATCGAACATTTATGATTTCATTGGTCAATTATATGTGATAATATCGAAAATTTGTGTAATCTGGATGGTCTCTTCTGGAATTAGAAGTATCTTTTCCTAAATTTGGCAAATGAACTCTAACGTGATAAGAGTATATATTGCATTTTGAAGATCATGCAGGATTTAAAAATATTTTTAAAATAAAGGAATGTATGAAAAAAAAAGCTTTGCATCCGTTTTAGGTTAAGCACAAAAGAAAATTTTATTATACTTTATCCCATTTATTTTAAAAATCAGGTTTTTATAAAAAAATCATAAGTGATCAGTAAATGATCAATATTGTAACAAAACGAAAGCCCGCTATGCTTAGTTGTATAACATTTGAAAACTTTAATTTTTAAATGAGCTTTAGAAAGCATAGTGGAATTTCTTTAAAAGGTTACGAGTCATAACGATCTTTTTTATATTATTCTATTATAAAATATATAAAATATATATGAAAATTGTGAAACATATCGCATATACAGTGGCTTTTTTCTCACTAAGCTTTATTAAAAAAAAATTTTACAAATATCGAAATAACCTTTTGTTTGCTTTTTTAATGGTAGAGATCAAATTAGATCTGGTTGATTTCGGGAGTAATTTAATAATTAAAAATGAAGAAAAATTGTTATTAACGAACTATATCGTTACATGAAATTCAATTTAGGTGAAAATAAAATAGATTATTGTATTATTTTTATTTCTTTTTTTAATTATCCTCTTTGTATTTCTAATACTAATTAGCGTTACTAATTACAGATATTTGCTAACTCTTTTTCTATCATTGTTTCTATAATTGTATCTTCATTAATTACTTCTATTTCTTCTTCCTCCTCCTGAACTTCTTTTTCCTCTCCTTCTAAATTTCTATCTTCTTCAGTAAGCGTCATAGAGCCTTTTTCTAACTGATTTAAAAAGGATTTAACATTTGTCTCAATCCCTTTCTTATAATAATCTTCACAATACCTACACTTATATTCTAAATATGCAAGGTGACCCCAATGATAACCATGATCACAAATTAATACTTCACCATCATACATATGATTATTTGCAATAAGTGGTTTATTACATAAGTCACAATTATTTGGTGAAGGCGGATGTGTTGTATTAAATCCAGTTGGTAAGCATTTAACATCAACAATAGCATCAAGAGCAACTAGTTTGTAAAGAGAATATCGTCTTTGTTCAACAATATGGCTTTGACTTTATGTGATAAATACTTTTTGGAAATGTTGAAGTAGAAATACTGTTGTTTTTTTGGTAAGATAATTTAAAGTTGAGGGTGTATATAGATATCGTTTTGTTTTAGAAAAATTATCTTTTAATAATTGTATTTTATTATTGTCTAAAAAAAAAAAAAAATTAATTATTATTCTTTTTAATTAATCAAATATTCTTTCTTACCTATAATATAGGCCTGTGTAATAATACTCTCTATACTATCATGTGTATTTGTATTTGCTCTTATTTTGCTGTGCAGATTTTCAACAATGTAATCATTAAAATTTACAAGGTATAATTTTAATGCTTCTGCCATTAGATGTTTATTATCTTTCCAATAAAAATAATCAGATAAAAATGCTAATGACGTCTTATTATAATTTTTTCTTCTCCATTTTAATGCAAATGTCCAAAGGCGAAATATTGTTTCAATATATTCTTCAAATGATTCAAAACGAAATAACAAAGCATAAATATCAAGTGTAGCAGGAATTATATTATCCAGTAGGTCTATTAATGTTCTATATTCTATATCTTTATATGTATGCATAAATTTTTGCATAATAATTTTTGATATTTGTTTCCATGCTTCACTAGTCAATTCTAATATTAAATTTATTCTCCATGGTTTAGGTTTTTTTGCAAAGGTTTTTTTTGAACCAAATACAAAATGAAAAAAATTTTCAAAGAAGTTATGATATAACATAATAGCTTTTTCGCGAAAATTTAAAGACACATGAAGTGGCCCAAGAATTGGAACAAAATTATGCACATATGAAGGAATAACAGATTGATTGCCTTGTAAATGAAGGTGTGTAATTGCTATACGTATGAAAAGTTGTCCAGGCCAATCTGCAACAATTGGTGCAACATTTAATAATAAATATTTTTTTAATGAAGAAACATTAGCAAAAGCTTGCATAGCTTTGAGATAATCTGCAAGTGAATGTAAATTCATATTTTGAAAAGATATCATATGAACTCCTTTCATAGATTATTCTTCTTTTCTTTCTTAGATTGCATCATTATATATATGAATGGTAAGTTGATCAATATAGTTAAATTGATTTTGATTTATTGATTTTTGTGTAATCCACTGATTTTTTCTAATATTATAGCTTGTATCAAAAATTCCACTATAATATGTTTCTAAATACCAACAAAGATTAAAAGCATCAACATTTTTAGGATTTTGAATTGATATATTTTGATAAATTGTTGGAATTGGTGCACAATTATCAACTAATTTTAAAAGACAAGTTGCAAAATGTTTATCATTGGTGGTAATTGAAGTAACAGGTTGATGCATAGAATGAATTGCATGATAATCATCAATATTAAATATATAAAGATTATTATTCTATATTATATAGATATATAAAATAAACTTTTAGCGTTAATTTACTATTTTTTATTAAAAATCAAAAGATTTTATTAAATTTTAATTAAAATTAAATTAAATTTTAAATTAAATCAAATCAAATTACATAATATAAATAAATTAAATTAAAAATATATATTTGTTACGCATTAAATTTTTTTTTTGAATAACTTACATAAATTGTAAAATATTCATCTATTTTTTTAGGATGATTTATTAAAATTTGTTGCCTGTAACTATCAACTATTTTAGCACATACACTGAGACTCATTGATGATAAAGTTTCAATACCTTCTTTTGAAGTTCCACATTCTTTTAAAAAAAGTCCAATTTTAAGTTTTAAATTATTAATAAATTTATTACCTAATCTAGGGGTCATCTAAAGCGGAGTAGTATCACGTGAAAATAAAGCGTACGATGATTGGTTAGAGGTAATGGCAAATGCTATTGGTCAT